TTTTATGGTATCAGAGCATCAATAGGTTAACACTTGATCTAACACAGCTTCCGCCCATAAACACAAATCCACTCTTTCTCTCTCTCTTCACATCAACCATGACTTTATCTGATTCCACAATCCTTCCCTTGTTGTTTTCATCCCAAAAGAGTCAATCCACTTCACAACCAGTGAGTTAAAGACTTGAAGGACATAATTACCTACCATGAAGTGTTCAATTTCAAGTTTTTCTTCTCAGTTATGATCTGAATGATATGATTCATGGTTCTGAAAAGCCACCAACTAGAACTCTTCCAAATAACTTTTCTAATCTAGCCTACACAATTTGGTTAAAAAATAACAATTGTGATCTCAGCTGGCTACTAGCTTCTATTTAGTTTCTACTGTTTTTAATTTAAAGACTTCCAAACAAGTTTGGGATTCTCTTCAGGCAAAATTCTCATCTATCTCAAGGTCCCACATTGCTTTTCTTAAAAGACAACTTTAGATTTTTGTTCAAGGCAATCGACCATGTTTTGCATTTTTTAAAGATACTAAATAGTTGGTTGACCAACTTGCTGCTGCAGGAAAACCCGTAGATGATCAAGACTTCATTACATTTTTAATTAGAGGACTTCATCCCACCTTTACACCATCTATCACATCCTATAATTTTGCTTGCAAAGATAAGAACCTATCTCTAGATGATTATCTGAACTTTTGAATTTGGAAACATTACTTGAAACTTCCATTACAATTCAAAATCATAATTTTACTTTTGCTGCAAAAACATCTAAGTATCCAAAAAGGTAACCTGCAACTATCCCTGCCAAATTCTAACAAACTTCTGCATTATCACAAGCTTGAGAAGCTTCAAGACTTCAGCTATATAGTGATTGTGTAGCTTTATATGATAAACCACAATGTTAAATTTGTGACAAATATGATTGCATTGTGTTGGATTGTTTTCAGTGTTTTAATTTTTCTTTCCAAGGAAGATAACTCCTTTTGAATTGGCAGCAATGATTGTTGAAGCCAATAATACTTTTAAGCAACAAGCTTGGTATGCCAATAATGGAGCTAATGCTCACATTACTGCTAATGCAGTAGATTTAACAACTCTGCAGCCTTATGATGGTATGGATACTGTCCAAGTAGGCAATGGTTCAGGTTTGGTGATTCAAAACACTAGTTCTTCCTTATTAAATATATCATATAATTCCTTTCATTGTCCATAAGTTACACCTAATCTTTTATTCATTAATCAATTCTGTTTAGATAATAATTGTTACTTTATACTTACTGGAACTAACTTTTTTATCAAGGAAAATAAGACTAGACGACTGCTGCTCCAAGGGCTAGTTGAAAATGGTCTTTATCCAATCAATGAGAATAAGAGTTGTGCCAACAAATTTCATTGTTTTACTTCTAAATTAGGGACAAAAGTCACTAGGGATCAATAACATAAATGCCGTGGTCACCCTTTCAACTCCACTCTAAACTATTTATCTTCTTTCATGCAAATAAAAGATTCACGTAGCAAGTCTAGTGTTTGTTCTTTCTGCCAGTTAGGGAAAGCTAAGAAGCTACCTTTTAGTGATTCGCAAAGATAATCGACTAGATCTTTAGCCTTGATTCACATTGATGTCTAGTTATCTATTATTCCTTTAGTTGGGGGATGTTAATATTATGTTTTATTCGTTAATGATTTCAGTCATTTTACATGGATGTATCCTATATGTTTCAAAAGTGATGTCTTTTCCATATTTCAACAATATAAAGTTCTTTTTGAAAATTTATTCTCTTGCATAATTCAACAGCTACAATCTAATAATGATGAAGAATACTTATTAATAGAGTTTCAATTTTTTTTAGCTGAACATAGAATTTTTCATCATTTGACATGTCCCTATACATCCCCACAAAATAGCATTACTAAACGAATATATCAGCATATTCAAGAAATGAGATTAACACTAGAAGCACAAGCCTACCATCCAAATTGTTATTGGGTAGATGCCTTCTTAACCTTAGTATACCCAATCAATTGTTTACCAACCAAAGTTCTTAATAATATAATACCATACTTTGTACTCCACAAAACTATGCCACGATATTCTGATATGCACATATTTAGTTGTGCATGCTAGTCTTATCTCAGACCATATAAAGATCATAAGTTAGTTTTCAGAAGTAAATAATGTATTTTCTTAGGGTACTCAAATAAAAAAAAGGTTATCATTGTTTAAATTTTGCTACAAGTAGGGTGTTTATCTCCAAGTATGTTGTCTTTGATGAGAATACTTTCCCTCACTTGGATAAAAGTCACTCTTTTACCACTCTTGTGAGCAACCAATCTTCATGTACTACTCTTTCTTTCAATACATTTCCTTTAATGTTTCATACACAACATTTCAATTTTAATCTAATTGTTATACCAATAAACTCTCTTCATATGGAGAGCCTACCCTTGCAAACTTCTAACATAGAAACACCAATTTCTGCACATTCTGTAATTAAAACACTAATTTCGACATCTTTCACAAATCATCCAATTCCTACACTTTCTTCCACAAATCATGTGTCATTATCTAATCCTAGTAATCATTTTACCTCTCTTATTTCCTCTCCTGAAATATCTCTAGTACTGTCTAGACAGATGGTACCTAATCTAAAACAGGAAGTCTTAAGCTTAGAGAATTCCCTAGTTTTCAAACCTTTTATTCCACCCGACATCCTCTATATATTTTATCTAATATAGTCATTGAGTCTGAACCCATTTGTTTTACAGAGACAATATCCAATCCACAATGAAAAGCAATAATAGAACGTGAATTTGATGGATATTGGCTAACAAAACATGGTCTCTTTGTCCTAAACTTTCACATACACATGTTGTCAGAAACAAATGGGTGTATAAGCTTAAAAGACATCCTGATGACAATATTGATTGCTACAAAGCAAGACTTGTGAATAAAGGGTTTGAATAAATTCCTGGTATCGATTACTTTGATACTTTTTCTCAAGTAGTAAAGCTTACTACTACAAGGTTAATCCTTTCTTTTGCAGTCTTGTTCAAATGGAATATTCAACAATTGGATGTTTTTAATGCCTTTTTGCATGACATTCTATATGAAGAAGTGTATATGGAACAACCAAAAGGTTATGAAGATCAAACCTTTCCTGATCATGTTTGTTATCTACACAAGTCCATTTATAACCTTAAACAAGCTCCTCGAGCTTGGTTCAAACGCCTCTCACAACAACTGAGTGATTTTGGTTTTTCATAATCCAAGATGGATTATTCATTGTTTGCATAGATTTCTGACAATTTATGTATTTTTATGTTAGTATATGTTGATGATATAATACTCACAGGATCCAACAGTCAAGCAGTTCATTACTTTATTGCTTAACTACAGAATGTGTTTCCAATTAAAGACTTGGGTGAATTGAACTACTTTCTTGGTGTTGAAGCACTACGAAACCAAGATGATTTACATCTGCAATAGACTAAGTATATTACCGATATGCTTAACAGTACCTATATGCTTGGTGGAAGGCCTCTTCATTGTCCATCATCTTTTGGTTCCAAGCTCTCATCTAATGCTAGTGACCTGTTAGCGAATCCAACTAAATATCGATGAGTTGTAGAGGCTCTTCAATACTGCACAATCATATGACCAGATATTTCCTATTTAGTAAACCAATTATATCAGTTTATGCATTCTCCGCGTGAACTGCACTGGATAGCTGTCAAGCATGTCTTACACTATCTAAAAGGTACTATCGAGTTTGGTCTTTTTTATACTCTAGGAACAATAACAATACATGCCTACTGTGACTCTCATTGGGCAAACAATCCTGATAATAGGCGGAGCACTACTGGTTATGGTGTGTTTCTAAGCACTAATCTTATATCTTAGCACAATAAACAACATAGTGTTGTCTCTCGATCTAGCACAGAGGCTGAATATAAAAACGTGTCTCATACAACTGCTGAATTGTACTAGCTTCACATGCTTCTTCAAGAATTATACATCATGTTATCTACTGTCCCAAGTTTATGGTGTGACAATATCAGTGTTATTGCATTAGCATCTAATTCTGTCTTTCATTCACGTACGAAAGACATCAAAATTAACTACCATTTCGTTAGGGAGAAGATGGTTAATCATGATATCCAAGTCTAGCATACCTCAACCAAATTATAGATATCTTTACCAAAAACCATACTGTAAATTGGTATTGCTTTCTAAGAGACAAACTTTGTGTTTGACTTTGAGAGGGTGTTAGAGTATTGAATATTATAACAACCTCAACAAAACTCAATAAAAATCAGGAACAATCAAAAAAGAACCAAGGATAAAGGAAATATCATAGAACAATAAAAAAAGAACCAAAGATAAAGGAAATATCAGAAGAAGATAAAGGAAGATTAGAAGAAGATAGAGAGAGATAATTTGATATTGTTTAAATTTCAAATACCTGTACTTATCCTATTTTCAAGTTACACACACACATTTTATGCAGAGAGTAATTTCTTCATCCTCTGTTAGCATAATTATCAAGAAATCTTTCATTCCCCAGCTACTTGAATGTCCAGTCTCTTAACTATGCTAGGTGCCTACTATGATTCGACAAATCTGGCAGCATTGAAGACTTTCTTTTCACTCTCGCGAGCCCACACACACGCCTTCAACCTTGAAATTTAATAAATATATTGCTAGAAGGATTAACAGGTTTGGTTTCATTCATTGCAGAGTATATCAATTTGCTATCTCCTGTAATTTACTTCAGCTACCAAACGATCATAAGAACGCGATCTTCCGTCGTCCAAGAAAAGGGTGCAAAGCTTTCAAATCATCCCGCAAGCCATGAACTGGATGGTAGGCCTCAGTTACCGACCAGCCTTCCATCCTTAATGTCTTGTCCCCCTACCAGAGTTAAGGCCTCCTTGGGATTGTGCAGCTTGGGTTGGCTTGGACATGCAGCATGCGTACAAAGGGGGTCCCAAAAAGTGAATGAGAGACAGTCCCATCTGGCTCCGAGGCAGCTTGTGCTGGCTTAGAAACGTGCTCCTTCCAATACAGAAATGTCTTTTGTTTGCCCTAGTTTTCTTTGGCAGGTGGTGCCTTGCAAATTAATGTTTTTCTTAATTACCATCTTTTTTTTGTTAATGCACAGGACAATGCAAACCCTGCAACTATTTTAATCTTAAAATATTGCCATTAGAGAGACCTTGCATCCCAGCTCAACATTTTCTATTTTTTGCAAAGAAAGCAGCGCCTCTCGATAACAAAAGCAGCTCAAGGATATAGCAACAAAATGCCAATACAAGTGACATTATTATGTCAAGATACAAGACTCCATTTGGCACTAGCATGACTTCATCATCATCGTTGATCACAATGGAACTCATGCAGGACGGCTAAAATGTCAAGCCAGCCATATACACAACCAAAATCATCCGACCTTAGAACAAGAGCCATTGTTTGCACATGAACAATTTCATCATCAGGACAAGGGCAGTTAAGTACATATAATAAGACGAACCCGGGATGAGTAAACAAAGCTGCTAACAACAACTACCTTCATTGAAGCTGTCAGAAATAACACAATGCAGAAGACAGGAAATTGTTCAAAAGCCGCTGATAGCCACAATGAACTAAAACAACCAAGATTCTCTCCATTTCTCTGCATCCCTGTCCTTGGTTCACATCGGAATGATGGTCCAGCCGCGGTTCCATCCATGTCTTATTTTCTTACTGTTGTTCTCCCCTCCCCTTTCTCATTCTTATTGTAAACAAAACTCCTCACAGAAGACAGAAATTTCTCCTGCATTTGATTCTTCACCTACAAGGTCAATGATAAGAACTGCAAGTTATGAAGCAGTCTCTCCTAATCATGATAGGGAAATGCTGATGCCTCAACTCTTGGGACCTCCTGCCCGGAAACAGGCAATGGAGGAGTCCTCATCGTCAAATGGAAAAGTTGTGGCAGCCATTGTTGTCACAGCTGCAATCACTCTGGCCATTGCTGTGATCTTCTTCTTTATCTACTTGAAATTTGCCAAAAAGCGGGAAAAAGTTATGGCAACCAGTGACGAGCTCAAAAAAGTTAGCAGAAAAGTGAAAAAGTTCACCTTCGATGAAAATGGGCAGGATTTGCTTTATGTAAAAAGTTTTGACAGGAAACCCAAAAACACTTTCTCAAAGGTTACGCTGAACCCTAGCTATGAAGAAGAAGGGGAAGAAAAGAGGGTGGATGTGATAGTAGAGCAATTAAAAAAGTACGAGCCACAGGAAATTTTGCTTTCATCTTATGGAATTGGTCATGGGAAAGTACCAGAACCAGTTTTGCGAAATGGAAAACCTACAGCATTAGTTTCAGAGATGGAAAGTCCAAAACTACCTCCTCTACCATCCCCTCCAAGAAAGAAAATCCCACCACCACCACCCCCACCGCCACCACCACCGCCACCACCTCCTCCTCCACCACCTCCTCCTCCGCCTCCGCCTACACCAACAAAACCACCACTTAAAACAAAGAAAAATCCTGCATCACCACCCCCACCACCTAAAATAGGCGGTTTAATCTCATTATTGAAACCTCCACCAGTTCCAAGAGGGAAATTAAATAGCAAGAGCAGGGAATGGGCACCAACAGAGGGAAGCTTGATAGGGACTAGCAGTGGGCATACAAGACTAAAGCCACTGCACTGGGATAAAGTAACAGCCGATGTTGATCATTCAGTGGTTTGGGATGAGATTAATAATGGCTCTCTCAGGTTTCCCTCTGAATTTTAAAATATTAATTTTTCTTTTCAGAGCACCTCGCATTTCTTAGGTTGATATTTCTCTGATCCATCATTTCCCCATTTTTCTGTCAGATTTGATGACGACCTAATAGAAACATTGTTTGGATATACAACTGCCAATAACAAAATCCTTCTCAGAAATGAAGTTTCATCAAGTGGAAGCAGCTCCAACCCCACCCCAGCTACTCAAGTTTTTATCCTTGAACCAAGGAAGTCTCAAAACACAGCAATTGTACTAAAATCTTTAGCAATTTCTCGCAAAGAAATTGTTGATGCTCTTCTCGAGGGTCATGGACTTAATACAGATGTCCTCGAAAAGCTTACCAGAATTTCCCCGACTCAAGAAGAAGCAGTCAAAATCACCCAATACAGGGGCAACCCATCTAAACTTGCAGATGCTGAATCTTTCCTTCACCACATCCTGAAGGCTATTCCTTCGGCATTCATCCGTATCAATGCAATGCTTTTCAGATCAAATTATGATTCAGAAATTCTTCATCTAAAGGAGTCCTTACAAACACTTGAATCGGGGTGCAAAGAGCTACGAACCCGTGGCCTCTTCTTAAAACTTCTTGAAGCCATTCTCAAGGCTGGCAACAGGATGAATGCTGGAACATCCAGAGGCAATGCACAAGGTTTCAACCTTACTGCTCTTAGAAAGCTTTCCGATGTTAAAAGCACAGATGGGAAGACTACTCTACTTCACTTTGTTGTAGAACAAGTAGTTCGATCAGAAGGTCGACGTCGTGTACTTAATCGGAACCATAGTATGGAAAGAAGTGACGGTCAAAGAAGGATAAACAGTGATTTGAATTCGGACACATTGACAGAAGAGAGAAACAAAGAGTACCTGTTGTTGGGACTCCCAGCATTGAGGGACATGATTGCTGAATTCTCCAACGTTAAAAGAGCAGCCGCAATAGAATTTGACAGTTTCGTCGACACATGCTCCTCTCTCACGGCTCGTGTCGCAGAAACTCAGCAACTCGTGGTAAACTTTGGCAACAGTGAGGCTGGTGGGTTTGTGATGCAAATGAAAGGATTCTTGGAGGATTGCGAAGAGGAACTTAAGGTGGTGAGAGACGAGCAAAAACGGATTATGGAGGTTGTTAAGAGAACAACAGAGTATTACCAAGCAGGAGCATCAAAACAGAAAGAAGCAAATCTGCTTCAACTGTTTGTTATAGTGAAAGATTTTCTTGACATGGTTGATCGAGTCAGTGTAGACATATCCCAGAAGGTGCAGAAGAAAAAAGTGGCAGCAAGAGCAGGATTATCACCACCACCTTCACCTCCATCAAATAATCCAGTGAGATTTCCAGACTTCCGTTTACATCCTATGTCAGATATGTCAAGGGCAACATCTTGGAGTGAATCAGATGATGGTTTCTGAACAACAGGATTTGTTCACATCAGAACATTACATTCAGTTAAATCAAGGAGTTGGCTCCCACGGAAACAGAAGTACAAAAACATGATATTCACCAAGCTTTTACTGCATAGGTGCATCTGTCTGAGACTGAAAGGGTTACGCAGCCAGGGAGAGAGAAAAAGAAGAAAAGCGATCAACACAACACGAAAATCTTAGCCCCGTGAGCAAACAATAAAAACCTCCGAACGTGGCATTTGCTGACCTATAAATGCAAATAGGCACAAAAATATACCTCTTAGAAATTGTTCTTCAAATTTCCAGCTCATCTACGTTCTTCTAAACTTTGTGTGCTCTGTGTTGATTATGATCATATAAATGGTCGTGTTACCTAAAGCAATTTTCTTGCAAAAGAAAAAAATAAGGGACTTAAAATTTAGTTCAGCTACATGCAGCAAGGATGGAGGATAAAGTAGCAATGAATGAGTAAAATAGAAAGAAATGGCAGAAGTTCAATCAAAACCCACGTTCTAAAAAGCTTCAAATTTAAAGCAAACAACCTGTAAAATAAATTAATTACAGAAAGAAATTCATTGAAGCAGAACTTGAGAGGCAGTGACAATGGCAGGGGCGGATCTAGAGATTCTTTTCAGCGGGTGCAATGTTTAATACGATCCCAGGAAAATTCTACAGTCAACTACAATATCTTTCCATCGATACTCTTATCACTCCTCTAAGAGTAGAAGAGAAAGCAAAAAACCAAGATAAAGTCATTGAACTTAATACTAATCAAAACTCCTTTCACGTACCAAAAGCCGAATGGAAAGTTTAATGGTCATTTTAATCCAAGTAATTTTTTTTCAAGAAAAGCCTTATGGAAATCATTTTTACTCCAAGCAAGCAAGAAATAATGGGACCAATTCCACACCCACTATCAAATAATGACAACCACACTTATTAATTAAAAATAATTATGCTTCTTTGCTTGTGATAAATCTAGGCATGGTGCTAGAACTAGTCGTTTCCAAAAATTCAGAATTGCTGCTTAAGCTAACATTACCAAGGAGCCACATGTGGCAATGATTTCTAAGATTAATATTCTCAAAGGCTTAGATGGATTTATTCAAAAGCTACTCAACATGTCTCCTATGATAAAAACCTTATTCAAGATGTATACCATCGATCTTTCATCGAAAAAAAAGGATCATGCTTCGTGATTCACACACTACTAAATTATTGGGGGTTGGAGATGTTCTTAACTAATTTATAATTGGTAGAAATGTTCTTAAAACTCCCAAAAATTTAGTTTATGATTTTGTTTCAAGTAAGGGTAGTCTTAAACAAGTTATTAAGTTTGATCAATATATACTTTCAAGGAAAGGTTTATTTTTGGAAAAAAAAAAAGAATGCTTGTGATGGGATGTTTAATTTTAATATTGAAATGAGTGAAAGTTCTTCCTTGCTAATTTTGTTTCTTGTGTGAATATTTGACATATGGCAGATTATCTCATATAAATTATAAATATGTGAAAAATTTTGTGTGAATATTTGATGTGAAAAACTTGGGTAATCTTGGTTTAATTTCTAAACTTAAAAATGATTTTGATAAAGTGAATCTTGTAGTATGGCCAAAAGTTTTAGAGAAATATTGAATTATTATATTATTGAATTATTATATTAAGTTATAAATATTTTAAAGCTATGAATTATAATTATGAATTATTAGAGCTCATATATACTAATATAAATGAGTTTGAAGGAGGTATTTTAACTCGTGATAAGAATTATTATTTTATAACTTTCATTACTAGGTTTTTTTTTCTTAAGTAAATAAAAGTGAAGCTTTTGAAAACTTTACCATTCTCTTAAAAGAAGTTAAGAATAGATTTGACAAAAATATTAGAAGGTTTCAAAGCGATAAAGATATAAAATATAATGTTAATAATTTTATTCAATCCCATGACATGGTACATGAAGTTATAATGCTATTCATAAAATAGTATATAGCTAAGAGGAAGAACACAATGTTAATTGATTTAGTAAACTCTACACTTACTAGTTATTGTGCTATTAAAAACTTATAGGTAGAAGTTGTAGTTTTAATCATAATTTTTTTTTTGTATAGAATTCCATACAAAAATATTATTTCAAGTCCTTATGAATTATAGAAAGATTGTAAATCAAATTTGAATATTTTAAAAAATGATTTTTAAAAGAATGAGTGTAATATCCCACATCAGCGGGTGAGGAGTTGGTTACTGACTTTATTAGTAGTGCTAGTTCCCAATATGTTGTACGTGTCTTGGGGTTTGTGGGCTATCATAAATAAAATTGTGAGGCGTGGAAATCGGGTTGGGTTGAGCCAAAACAAACAATATATAATATGTTGGGCCGAATTGTTACATTTGGCATCAGAGCGTACTTCATTGGTTTTCTGATGGTGTCAATGAGGTCGTTGAGTTTCTTAAACATGATGGATTGTAATATCACACATTAAGGGGATGGATTGTAATATCACACATCGACAGGTAAAAAGTTGATTACTGGTCTTATTAGTAGTATGCTTGCCAACATATTGTACGTGTTTTAGGGTATGTGGGCTGCCAGAAACAAAGCCGTGAGGTGTGGAAGTCGGGTTGGGCTGAGTCAAAGCGAATAATATACAATATGTTGGGCCAGACTGTTATAATTGCATTGTTCTTTATAGATGAAATTGCCAATGAATTGAAAAATTACCGGTAATATTTGAGGGGTTTCTAATTTTTTTTGATTAAATTAAAAATTTAAATTAAATATTACAAACAAAATTATCGATGGATTGAAAAGTTATCAGTGATATATAGAGGGTTTTTGAAGATTTTTAATTAAATTAAAAATCTAAATTAAATATTACAGATGAAATCACTAACGGAATGATTAAAAATATTAATGTTTAATTATCTATCAGTAAAAATGTCAATATAATCCTCCAATAAAAATACGAGAATCTCTCATTTCATAACAGACGCGTCTCTTCGTCTTTTTCTTCTTCTTTCTTTCCTTTATATAAAAAACAACAACGTCCCTTTCTTTCTTTCTCTTCCCTCCTCAACTACTTCTCTTTTCTTCTTTACTGCTCCACATGCAGGTATGTCATCTCCTCTCTTCTTCCTTCCTCTTCTCAGTTTTTTGTTTAATTAACATACTTTATGAATTTGGTTTTTCTTTTCTCTTCGTAGCTTCACTCGTAATTCTATTATGGTAGGATTTTTCTTTTTTCTTCTTTGTTTTTTTTTGCATTATATTTGTTTTTTATTTTATTTTATTTTTTTAGCAATATCCCATATAGGTGGGTAAGGAGTTGGTTACTGACCTTATTAGTAGTGCTGATAGCCAACATGTATGCGTTTTCAGGTTTGTGGGCTGCCATAAACAAAACCGTGAGGCGTGGAAGCCGGGTTGGGTTGAGCCAAAGCACATGTTGGGCCGGGCTCTTACAACAATTGAGAAGTAAAAAATTCTAAAATTATTTGAAAAATACTGATGAAATTAATTAATTGGTGATATCCTTTATAATTGACATAATGAATAATGTTAGGGAGAAGTAAATAATTTACAAACAAATTTTATTGACAATATTAATACTATCAATAATTGTTGTATAAATGATATATTATTGTACCTTTTAACTCTGTTTTAATTTTTTTTCAATTGTAATTCTCTTTGTATATATTGAAAGAATATTTTTATCGATATTTACCGATAAATATAGTAAGGGAATATTCCAGTGGTAAAATTCACTGCAATTTACAAATAAAAATATTTTATTATTGTTCCAGTTTTTATTTACTAATTTTCTAATAATGTAAGCAACTATTGCTTTGACGAGAAAACTCAACATAATTTTCATTCTTTAATAATTCTTCAATATTGAATAGCATTGATGGAATCCTTTTTATGGGAGAGTGGATCTCTTCTCTCCTAAAACTCTCTATAAACTTTTTATTTATTCTCATATTCGCAAGAAAAGATATGCCTTCTCTATTTTTAATATTAAAAAACTAAGAGGGTTGATTTTCCTTATCAAATAAGGATCCCGAAGAGATTTTCTCTCTTTAATGGAGACAATCTCTTCTTAATATGTCAAATTGTTAGAAATTACTCAGACAATTTTACTTTTCAATTTCTTTCTTTTTCATACAATTGTGGGTAAAGACTAACCATGGGCACTCAATTACAAAATATATCCAAAAAGTTCAACATCTCTTACTTGCACATGGTTGGGATGACTTTGCACAACTTATTCCTCAACATCACTTTATTCTCAATATTGTTCATACAGAATAATAAAAAATGTGACCGTTGAGTTTTTTATAATTTTAGAAGCTCTACACTAATAACCTATTCAGGACAACATAGAGACATCAACATGAGAAAGTGCAGTGACTTACAGTGTAATAGAGATTTTAAAAATTACATAAGTCAGTAAATTCAATCCCTCGATAGGAGCTTTAATAACCTTATATGTTCGCTATTGATATTACACTTATAATTATGTTGCAAAACCAATAGTAACAAAAATTTAACATTGCTGAGTCATGGTACCTTCGTGTAATACAAACGTCTTCTCTTTGCACTCATGCCATTGGTTAAGAATAAATCCTTTCCTAGTAATGTCTTGTGTAGGTGATATACTGAAATAGAAACGTATATTTTTTACCTTCATGGTATAACCAAAGGTGACCGAAGGCTCTAGTAGAGAATAATAAAAAAATATATATCCTCAATGGTGAGGAAACAGGACCCATTCACTCACCTTTATTTTTGGTTGCTCTAGTATGATATTCATGTTATGGTAGAGAAATTCAATAAAAAAAAATGTATATAGTTATCTAAATACCATATCGACCTTAATCCAATCACTCTTAGAGCATCCAATCTATGTTTTTTAAATGCTTGCCATGCCTAGCACCAAATAACTGAACTCGCATCCGGATTTATTTTAGCGGATTGTAAAACCATCCATATATGATCACAGGGACCTCATCTTGATCCCTAATCAAGGCAACAATTTGAACGATTGTTCATATGAGCAAATCAATTAGTCTATATTTACATACTGTACACGATATAATATATATGTGTGTGAGTGTTGACGCACGTATAAATATCATGTTGCTTAGTATTTAAACAATATAATAAAAATAAATATCTCATAAAAAATAATGATTATCCAAGTGCAAGCAATTCAAAG